AAAAACTACCGGACAATCGTGACCACACGATGAAATTCGGATGGTGATGAGGGTAGGAGAAATCACTGTTCATTTTTGCCTACCCTCATCACCGTCTAAAGTTCATCGCGTGGTCACGATGGTCCGGTAATATTTTATTTTTCATTTTTTTTCTACTAATCGAAATGACCTGAAATTTATAGATATGTACATCTTACTGAGGGGCATCTAATAAAAATATAAAAAAAATTATCCGTAAAAATTAGATTGATCAAAATACCTCAAAAACTTTTCGGGGGTATTTTGGTCAATTTTTTCATGTAAAATATTTTTAAAAAAAATTGCAAAGATTTCCCTATTTTTGATGAATACACGCTCCAAATTTCAGATCATTCCGATTTATAGAAAAAGAATGAAAAATGAAACACTACCAGACAATCGTGACCGCGTGATGAACTTTGGTCGATGATGGGAAAAGGCGAAATCTTTGTTTATTTTTACCTATAGGCGTTGCGTAGTGTTTTCCATATATATATATATATATATATATATTTATGTGACAAATTGAATTGTTCAGGCACAAGATTTTGAAGGCACATTATTCAATGAGGTCCTCGAAATATTTGATGAGAATTAGTCCATGGTAGAATTTATCATGTATCAAACTTTAAAGTAAATAATACATTGCCAGCATATCCGGTGCTTGGATGCAAGTATGAGATAAGGACGATGACAGTTTTCCAAAAAAAATTACAACTTCATCAAAATTTCAAGGATGCAGAACTACATACAACATATTCCCTATCCAGGTATCATTTAGAATTTTTAAGAATCAGTTAATTACATACTATTTGTTTATAGATATATAACATTTTTTTTTTCATATAGATATTTGTTGGAATTTTGGATGGACGACGTTCCTAAGGGAACCATGTCTAAAAAAATGAAAGAAGAAGATCCCTCAAAGAGGGATATTGTTCTAATGGAAAACGACTATGGAGATTTATATTATGTACTTACTATAAATTTATACTATAAAAGTTATTTATTATTGTCCATTATTTAAACAGGAAAAACCAGTGCCTCTTAACAATTTGAGGAAACTTAGGTGTTGATCGTGCTCAATCGTCCTCATCTACTAAAGTTGTAATTATTACCAACATATGAGTTTCTAAATTTAGAGGTAATTGTATTTAAATTTACTTTTGTAAAAAATAAAATGATTTGTGTTCTTTATACTAACATTGCATCTTTATATTGCAGAAATCATTCAAACATCAACAATAAAACAAATTCAAATAATTATGAATTCATATAATGAAGAATTCCAAAAACTATGTGATTGGTATGCAGTTACAAATAAGTCACATTTATATAAATTGATAGTATTATTAAAAATTCATAAATTCACAAAGTACTATATGAAAATTTTCATTCTTTTTTACAGGTCTGAATTGAACAAAGGCGTGAGAAGCCCAATCATCATCATGCCTAATATATATAAGAATATTGTATTGTCGGTGCCAAATAACAACAATACAAGAAATAAATGAGCTGCACATCCCCAACCTCAAAAAGGAAATATCATTTTGTTAGAAAACTTTGTCTAACAAGTTCTTATTTATTCATGATTTATTTCTTCATAATACAATAAAATAGTTTCTTGCTAGGATGAAGTTCAATATCATCGCTTTCAAGGTCTTATAACAAGTATAGATACACATTCAAATATTTGGAATAGCACCTGCAAAACATGCAATAAAAAGTGAAAAATAATAGCATATGGGAATTATCTATGTGAAAAATGCAACAAACAACCACCTTCTTTCATTGTTGAGAGGTAGTTTATATGAAAAATATTGAATTATGAATATTTTTCTTATATATAATGTTAAATAACATACTACTTACTTTTTTAGTATTTCCACAAAACTTTAACATTGATGTCAAAAACTAATTTTTCATATTTTTATTTCAGGTACTAAACAACAAGATGGTGGAAGATAAATTGAAGAATTTAAACAACAAAGAGTATGCTTTTGGAATTAAGGCTTCGATTAATAACTCATATTCAACGTAACTTGGTTTTGCAATCTTTGCCACAGCCATCCCATATTATTCCGAGGAACCTCAACTTAGACAATTAATATATGTTTTTTCTTTTCATACTTTTTCATGGCAATATGAAAATTCTTCTCTCTTTAGAGTGATGGTGAATATATTTTCCTATGGTTCTAATCTAACTCCTTTCTACCTCGCTATAATCCATTATAACGTTTTGGAATATACTGAAAGTTTATTTGAATTTGTTTAGCTCTAATTAGTATTGAATAGAAGAAATTACGTAGATTTGGATTAATCAAATTCCCTCTCTCTTCTTTTTTTAGAATAGGAAAAATTTATATAGAGCCGAGGCTCTAAACAATCGAACTAGAGCCTACCTCAAAAATATCATTAGGAGAGGTTGTTTTGATGCTCAAATATCCTCAAATCGATCATCTCGACATCAAGATGCATGGATATGAGAAAATAATAGATTTCAAGTTTTGAAAATGGTGTATTTTGTCACATATTTTTGGACGGTCAATTTTCAAGATTTTCAAGTTTTCATAGATCTATTGATCTACACTATTTTTTTTGAAGCTTTAAATTTTATAAATAAAGATAAAAGTATATTTTATGGCTATCACAAAGATTTCAGGACCATTTTCAGGACTACTGGCTATCCAGTAGTGAAACCACATTTCTCGACACTATTTGAAGGTAGGCTCTAATTTGATTGTTTAGAGGCTAAGCTCTATACAAACCTCAACCTTTTGGAATATACTCAAAAGTTTATTTGAATTTGTTTAGCTCTAATTAGTATTGAATAGAAAAAATTATGTAGATTTGGATTAATCAAACTCTCTCTCTCTCTCTCTCTCTCTCTCTCTTC